AGGAGAGGAGAGGAGAGGAGAGGAGAGGAGAGGAGAGGAGAGGAGAGATTGCTTTATGGCTCAAAACCTGCAACCAAATTGCTGCTCCTCTAGCTTGAGAACTGAAGTATTGCAATGACTTGAAGCTGAAGGATAATTCTTGCTTCTAGCTAGAAGGACCCTGTGCTCAGATAGGACCTGAGCTTTCAGTACTGTTTGAATGCATTAAGATATACTCCTAATAGACACCCTAAGTGTTACCAAGAGCTCCACAAAACTCTCTTTATAGAATCATTTGAGTTGAAAGGCACCTTTAAAGGAGATCCAGCCCAACTCCCCTGCAATGAACATGGACAACACAGCTAGATCACATTGCTCAGAGCCCTTCCAGCCTGGCCTTGGACATTTCCATGAATGTAACATCCACCACCTTTATGGGCAACCTGCTCCAGCGCCTCATCACCTTTACTGTAAAAGCTTTTTTCTTATATCCAATATAAATCTCTCTTTATGTTTGAAAGCATTTCCCCTTAGTCCTATCACAACAGACCCTGCTAAACAGCTTGTTCTCCTCTTTCTCATAGCCCCCATTAGGGAAAAAAGGCCACTCTCAGGTCACCCTGGCTCTTCTCCAGCCTGAACAGCCCCAGTTCTTGCTGTCGTTTTAACCTTCTCCAGTCCATCTCTATGGTTTATTTCTTCCATCCTCCTACAAATGAGAGAATGCCAGCTATGTCCAGAAGCATAGCTTTGATGGCTTTAGCTTTGCAAATCTTCCCTTGTTATGCAGGCGGAGAGAGCGGCTGTTCAGTGTTTCAGAGATGGGCTGAGAGGGTTGTGCTAAGAAGTTATCAATCTCTCTCTAATGCACAGCATGCCATAACTGCTGCAGGGCAAAAATGTGCTGCTTCCTCTGGTTTTCAAAATATTCTCGTCTGTCTGTAAACAGATCAAGGGAAACAAATGGCTTCCCCCAGTTAAATGTTTTAAGAGAAACCCAGGCTGTGGATATCACGTAAGAAGAGGAGGAGAAAGCAGCTTTAAGTTAAAGGAGTGGCTTTCTGCCCCAGTCTCTGCAGAAGGGACTTTGCATGTTTAGCCTGAGCAGTTTGCACATGTGATGCTTTACTGATCCATCTAGCTCTAGAGAGGAAGCAAAATCATGCTGAGCCCTGGTCAGCTCAGGAAAAATGCTGACAATCTGGTCTGAATTCATATAAGGAAAAATAAATCCCATGTCTCTGTAGTATGAGCACAGGAGCCATCAATGGGAAGGAATGTGGGGTGCCTGAAGGCTCAGTTGAGATAAAAGCTGCAGCTAATTATTCAAACAAAATATCCATATCTTTGAATCAGCAAAACAGGGCTGGAAATTTGAAGGCAACAACCTCTCCTGTGATGTCTCAGTGCCTCAGCTTCTGTCCCTGTCCCCAGGAAGAAAAGGCAGAAATGGGAAATGTCCAAGTGAAAATGGCCAGGACTCAGAGAAGATATTCAACTGAGCAGCTCATTTCCATAAATACATTTAAAGGTCTCCTCTTCTTTTAAAGAGGGGTAAGAAACATTGCACCATCCTGAAAATGTAAGTCAAATCTGCTGGGTATTGCTTAATTAATTAACCCACCTCTTGGCAAGTTCTCATTCAAATCAAAAACACTGTCAGGTGAGATAAAGGCAGAGATACTGCATGTGTTGTTTTACAGCTGAACAGTTCAGTATTCCCTCAGTGGTCTTGGATTAACAACAGTAAATATAAAGATAAAATAAAAAGATAAAAGTATATATATATGTATACCTCCTTCCTTTGATGCACTCCTGAATAAAAATAACAGTGCTGAAGCAGCACTTCAGTCCTTAAATCCCTCTGTGCTTTTTTCCAAAGGAAGGTCAGTGCTATTGCTCCTCTACAAAAAAGCGGCGAAGGAGCTACTGCTTTTCATAAAGGTGCTGCCACCCCATTGCATGGCCCTGCTTACTGAGGCCACTGAAGGCACCAGTCCAGAAGGTTTCTGTGGAACTTGTCAATTTTTATACCTTCTTCTTGTTCCCTCTGCTTTGCAGAGAGCAGAGTCCATCCTGGAGGGCAGATTTGCCCAACTTTTGCTAAGCTTTCTCAGTCCATCTGAACTGCAGCACGTTGCCACAGCAGGAATGAAGCAAAAAAATCCAAGTAAAGCAAATGGAATCAAAGTTTCATGAAATAAGGTTTTTACTCTCCCTTAGTTTCTTTTTGAGATCATGTAATACCAAAACTTCTCATGCATTATCTAGCAACTTGATAATCCAAGTGATAACCAGACAGTAGGGCCCAAACCACTTACTTCCCATCTCCTGCCCTTATGGGCTGTCAGGTTGATGCATTCCCTTGTTCAACATTACCTGGTAGTGAAGATGCTGTGAATTTGGGAATGTTGGACTGTACGAGGCTCTCCTTAAATGGGATCAAAGAAGTCAATTTGTAGGTAATTCATTGCATATATGGGACAGAATATCCAATGTATTGTGTCATAGCGTTTTGTTGGTTCTTTTTTTGTTTGTTTGTTTGTTTGTTTTTGTATTTGTTTATTTTTATTCAATGCCAGGAGCTGGATAAGGAATGCAAATTTATATTCTTTCTGCTCCTTGTATGCTAAGAATTGTTCTGCTTGGTGTAACAACCTTGGTGAGCCAAGACTGCCTACAGAGGGGTGCAGACTCCATCTCCCAGTGCACTGAAACAGAATTTGTAAGCCCATCCTGGATGACATGTAGCTATTGTTGGAAGCCTGAATCTAGTCCTTCTTATGAAGAAAAATGTTAAACAATGAGCAGAATTTCTCCTGTTTACATTAACAGAAATAGAATCGAGGCCACACGTGCTATTTCCAGAAACTTAGAACAAATCATGTTTAACACTAAAGTCTGCTAATGGCTGCATACTGTAAATCACAGCAAGTCTGCTGAATAATTTTCATGGCATCAAAGATTTTTGCAAGCAGAAACATGGCTAAAATAACACTTCAGCTTCCCTAGATCAATACATTTGAAATATAAGGCCATTCAGTTGCTAAAGAGGTCTATTTAGTTTCTTTGACAGGCAATGATCCTAGGTAAAATCAGGTGGTTTTACTTGTCAGCATTAATACATTGCATGTCAAGAACCCCCCAGCTCAGGAACAGGAGTGCTGTTCTTGACAGGAAAGTCAAGAAAGGACCATCCCATATGTGCTGAAAATTCATGACATGAAGATCTGCAATAGCCAAATCACCTAACTTTGTGGCAATTCTTCATTTCGGCAGGTGTTTAATTTAAACCAAGCTGGAGGGAGGCTCTGGTGGGAGTGTGGAAGTGTCATGGAACAGAAAATAGATGTTTATCAGCTCATCTGCTGATGGCCTGGGAAACAAGGAGTGAAGAATGACTTTCCAGCATTGGTCAGTCTGGGTTGATGCAAAACTCTATCTTGTTCAGAGGGAAGATGAAGCACATGTGTCGAAGAACTTAAAGAAGGGTAAAGATGTGAAGAACAAAGGAGGCAGAACTACTATCATCTCTGTCATTTCAAAAAGGTTTTTGAACTAGCATTGTTCCAGTGACAAAGAAAAAATACATTTTGTCTTCTTTGCCTCAGCCTGGCTGAGAAATTAAGACTACCTGGTTTCCTTCTGAAAAACAATAGATGGATCTTTTCTTGAAGAGAAATCCCCCAGTCAAGACAATTTGCACTGATGGTCAAAGTGGATGCAGAGTTCAGTTTGCCACAGTTCTTGTAGTCACACTGCCTTTCCCAGTGACACTGTTGGACACCACTAATAGGGTTCAAAAACCGTCAAGAACTTGGCTGGAATACCCCACAAGATCAAACAGTTGACTTTGAAAATATCTTTTTCCCTAATTTAGGCTTCTATCAGTAGTAAGGAGGAATGATACAGGGGCACCAAAGATACTTTGATAAAGAAAAATAATTAAACAATTATTTTTAAACAATGTATGCTTTCTTTAATTAACAGCTGGTTAAGCAAGTGTTGAGCTGCCCAAAAAAAGCCTTTCAAACCCTGCTTATCTTCCAACCACCTGCATGATTTTTTATTCCAATTCTAGCTAGAGCAAACCTATTTATTTACATCCCTCCGCATCAGGTGTAGAACAGAGTGAAAAGAAGGCACTCAGTGAGGCATCCAGGTGCTAAACTCCAAACTGATGAAAGGAAGTGTGTCCTCACAAAATAATCTGTGGCTGTTGTTTCCAGAAGGCACCAGCATGGAGGCCTGAACCTCCAAGTTTCTTCAAAGCCTTGTGCATCTCTGTGGGGAGTGAGGCTATCCAGAAAAGAGATTAGAAAACCTGACACAGTCTCTGTTCTCAGAGTGCCAGACAATTTTCAGCTAATGAGCTTTAGGAAGAATTTTATTCCCTTGGAAAACTGTTTCATGAGCATCAACTCCAAAGCCTTCATGTCATGTAGATGAAAATACCCAGCCAACAGTGTCTTGCAAAAAGATGTAATTGGCAAAGTAACCTGGTGTGGTGGATGGACCGGAGGCTTGGCAGTTACAGCATTTATGTCATCAGATCCCTTGACTTCTCCTTGACCAGTAAGTATTCTTTATTTTATTATTCTAAGCATTTTGGGCCATATTCCCTCAAGGGAAAATTTCCCTGAAGGGTTCCCTCTTTGTTCTCCTGTACACATCGGGATACATCTGAGCCAGGAGTGGACGTGTTAGCTATGATACTGTTAGCCATGCTGATGGCTGAATAAAATTTGGGTTCAGTACCATCATTGCTGATGATAGTTACAGTGCTTTCTCCCTTTTAAATTGAAAATCTTCTAATATCAGTATATGAGAAGAACAAACTAGCACATCAGCTCTTGTTTTCAGAGTTAAAAATGAGAGGGGAAATGAAAGCTTTCTGGGGCACAGTGTTCTCAGTGTTCTGAATATTCAATGTTTTGTTCTCGTTGTTGGTGGCCGTTTGTTTGTTTTTGGTCAAAATTTGAAAACGTTGTCAACAATTTGCAAATTCCCCACCTGTTCTGTTTACATGTGAAAACACCCTTAGTCCTTTCTCCTTTTGGAGTGATTTTTAATGTATAGCAGGAAAGCACAGTGTTGACAGCTCTCCAATTTTATCACAAGTCTCATTATACATTTTTCTAAGCTAAGGCCACCTATGCCAAAATACAGGATGATTATATTTTTTGTGTGTGTGTGTGAAAATATGCATGAAAAAGTGTATATATTTTTCCTTTTTTGTTTTAGTCAAGAATTTTCAAGCACATAAAGCAGCTCTATTTAAAGATCCACCACCTCTACAAGAATCACAAGATTACTCTTGTGTCTTCTGTTTGAAGGAGGAAGTCAGTATGTTTCTGACAAAAAGGGGAAAGGCCTGGAAATGCCATTTCCAGCAGGCCAAAACTTGGAAAGCTCAATTGTTATTCAGACCTACCTATCTATCTATTTTTTTGGAAGGAATTGGCCCTATAACTTATGACTTTTGGAGATGGAAATCATCAATGAGAAAGAAGCAAAAAAGTTTCCTGTGACAGGGAAGCGATATGAAGGTTGGCACAGTAATCCCGTCCAGGCAGAGTTGGGAATCTTGTCTGTTTGAAGCTGTGGTAGAAAAAAAATAGTTTAAAAAATCAGAATAACGTCAAGTTCTCCTATCTGTGTGGACTTGATAATCTCCAGAGATCCCTTCCAACCCCTACAATGTGATTCCTTGTCTACATTGGACATTTTCATTGCTCCTTTCCTAGGTGTGCTTCCTTCTGTTTACACCTGAAAGCTAAGTGGAAAAGGTAAGTTCTTTGGGTACCTAACATGAGAGAAAAGGGAGTTGTAGACTTGTGAAATTAGGGCCTTAATTCAAATGGAATCTTGTGCTAGGGATTCCTGTCCTGAGGTCCTTAGGAAATACAGAGTTATAATGGAGTTCTCATAGTAGAATTGGGAATACAGGAGTTGGAACCTCTTTTAGAAGTCCAGGCTAGCTTAATTATTGCATAGTTGAGAATGCAATTCATCACATTTTATTTCTGGGTTCTTTGAGTTCCAGTTGGTGGGTTCATTTTGCTAACATCCACACAATATCTTTAGCCTGGGTTGAAATCTTTTATTCTGTTTTCCCTGATGTTTCCACAAGTCGCTGTCTTTCCAGGCAGAATTTCTCCACTTCATGCATCATTATCTCCTTCTCTTCAGCTCTTGGATCTCTCCCTCCTTCTTCCAGCACAGCTTCCTCCATCTCCTCTTAGAGCATTGCCTGCATTCTTCCAACCACATATTCCCTTTCTCTCTTGCTTGGAGCCACAGGTATGTGATCTATCTACAAATAGCTTGCTTTGATAAGGGTGACTTGACTTCAACCCCATTAAAAAAAGCAACAATCGAACCGAAAAAAAAGACCAGTGTTTATGAAGACAGCACTCCACAGGATTCCTGTGTGTCTGCCTAAGAAGCTGTATACCATTAAAGAGCTTATATTGAAAGACTTGCTCACTTTATACAAAGCTTGCATTCTACTTGGGTAGCAGTTATGGCTTTCAAGTCCAATTTCCTTGAAAGCTAAGGCAAGGTTGGATCTGCCTGTTTTGATTGACCCCACATAACAAGAGGAACTGTGAAATTTAGATCCAAAATTTGAAGCTGGTTTAGTTTGGCTTTTATGATTCATGCCTTTGCTGTGCTAGTCTTGACAGATTAGGAGAATTACACACCCATGCTTCTCTTATTTACACGGTCGAGTTGGTTTGCGATCTCCTGTAGAGTTCATTTCAAACCCTCCGCCCCCCTTGTGTTTGGTGAAGGAAGAAACTTCAGTAACCATCAGCTGTGGCATTGATCCTTCAGAGAAATTAACCAACTGAACTGAGACTTACTGTGAAATCAGTGATGCTCAGCAGTTGCTAACTTCATTTGCAGCTCACTAGTGTTAATGCATTTAAAGTATTGATCCTTCCTAGTGTGTTTTGCAGCTTGGACTCCCTTTTGGCATTGCTAATACAAAGGCAGCTCTCTCCAAAGCCAGGATAAGCAAGCAAAACCCTTCGACCCCGAAAACAAACTCATTATTCAAAATGCTTGTCGGCTTGCTGCTGCAATTGAATTGATTGGCAAAAAAAGGCCGTGGCAGATAAAAACTAGATTATTTCAGAACATGGGAAAATAACAGGCAAAAGGAAGCATCCTTCATCTGAGGAGAACAAATCCTACCCTCCTTTCACTACCATTTCTTACCTTATTATTGCATTGCTGTACTATTGATAGGATTTTGCTTATCCCTTTGAAGAAGGGATCCAGAAGGAATTCTGAAGGCTGTGTTTGTGGTGGGAATAGTTTACAGCTTGGACTTTTGTTGTCCAGGAAAACCAGTAGGATCACAGGATTTTCCCAGTACTCATGCTACACAACTTTGGAAGGACGTTACCACTTGACATCATGGGCTCCTAAAGTAAAGGCTGGACTTTGAGTTGATGACTGAACTAAATTAACTTAATTTTCTTTCTTTTTCAGAAATAAATGAGCCTTCAAATGTAAGGTATGGCTGGAAACAGGGGAGCTGCTGCTTGAAGACCTCTACCTGTGTAGCTCTGTTTGTACTTTCCATCATGTGCTCCCTGGGCTTTGCAGTGAGCTTGCTTACACAGTGCTTTCCCTTGCCCTATTTAAATGTTCCTGCAGTGTGTTCATGGTGAATTAAGTTACTCTGTAGAAAAATGCACTGTAAATCCCCTTTGCTTTCTTCAGCTCTTCCCCTTTTCCATAGATTGCAAGCTGATTGCAGTTTGTCCTTTTTGGAAAATATCACGCACATAACGGAGATGCTGCTTAGAGTGCTTGACTTCTCCCTCACACTATTCCTGACATTCTATCTGCTACTGTTTCTCCAGCTCCTAAAAGTGACCCAAAGCTTTCTCTACCTTGAGCTATTTAATTGCTTTTAATTCTCTTACCTCTGTATATACCCTTTGCACGCCAAAACTTCAGTCCTTAGCAATGATTGCATTCTGTTTATGATCTGCCTTTAAATGTCACGTCTGGGCATTTGAGTGGCACACACCTTGTTCTTTGAAATATGCAGGTGTCTTATCCTGAACTTCATTAGTGCTGTGATGGACTCCAGCCATCCTGCTTGTTAGTTTATTACTTAGCTGCTTGTCAGCCACTCTTTGCAGCTTACCCCCCATTACTCCTGATACAGAGATGCTATAATTAGGTACCTCGTTTTTCAGGCATTCTTAATTTTGCTTTAACCTCCTGGTTAAAACAATAGAGGCTAAGCCAGCATGAAAACTCATCTGTTGCCAAGGTATTTGAAGAGGTCTTCTTATTTTCAGTGACATGGAATATCTTGGGGGGGTCGAAGGGGTGAATTTGTGGCTGAGAGCTCCCTCTAACAGAGGCACAAAGGAGACACGATGCTTGCTTTCAACATGTAATGTCTACTGGTCTCTATGAAACTCACAGCAGAGTTGCACAACTTATCTGTCAAGGGCCAGTGATGAGCTATAATATGGCATCTCTGAGTTGTATCTCTTAAATAGGGAGACACAGGGGACAGGCTCCAGGAGAGACTTTTCTTCTTATTCTTCTGACTGTACAAAAAATCACTGATTTTTGTTGTTTGCTTGTTTTTATCTTGAGAACTTGTGATATTTACATAAACTTGGATAAGAAATTTTGGTCTACATAATACTCAGATTTTCCTCTTCTTGTCCTCTCATTTTGTGTATGTCTTCTATGCACTGCTGCATAAACACACTGGATACTTTTTCAAGTACTTCATAGTACAGCTCCAATATCTAACTCAGGATTGTACATGTGGGATGATTAAACCAGAGCTGGAAAAGATCGCTGGAGGAAGGAGAGAAGGGAATGTTTCCTCCTGCTCATTTTCCTTCGTCCTTGAAGAATGATGGCTAGTGCCCACCATCCTAAGAAGGCTAACAAAGCCCTATTCCCTCAATATCTTTTTGACCTTTCTTGGTGATTTCCTTTCCCACTGTTACAGACTCTCACCACACCTGACCTTTAGAGGAACGAGAGGTTACTCTGTGTCATGGTTGTGACTGCTTCTGAGCATCAGCAGAACAGGAAGAGAAGACTCAATTGAAACTACACTGTGTGCATGCTCATCTGTTTTCGAAGAGAACAAGACTAATTTATTATGAAACAGAAGTTAGCTTTACATTTTCATAATTAGGGAGGATGTTAATGTTGCATGATTGGAAAATGTCACCCTGCAGAACTAATTTGCCAGTGGGGCCTAATTGAAGTTCAGCATCATCTGCAGCTCCCCCAGTGATAACTTCCTCATGAGGTACTGCAGTAATGCAGAGAGTGGTTAGTAGAAAGTAATTTATCACCTTGTTTCCTAGCAGGTAGAGGGATCCAAGAAGAAATGGCCGAAAAGGAGTGATACCAAAATCTAGAGCACTCAGGCAGGGGGAACAAAGCACTCCACATAACCACAAATAACAGGGTTAATTATCCCTTCACTGTTGCAGAAAACAATAAATTTCTCAGGCACTCTGTCCTGCAGAGTTGCTGGAGATAGTTGGATTGGGCAAGTGGCTGTATCACAGCACAGTGTCACAAAGGTATGGATGGGTCTGCTCTTATCTAAAGCACGCTTGAGATTGCTTCGTGCTCTGAATATAGGAAAGACCAAGAGGGGCCAAAAAAGAAAGAAAAAAAAAAAAGAAAAAAGAAGAAGGCACACACAAAATATTGCAAAATCCAATCTTTTCTTTGCTGTCCACTCATTGTGTTTCTATGGCAAAGACACAAATTTTACTCCAGTATAAAATGGTGCTAACATCATTTGCCCAGTCTTCAAGCTACGACTAACTTGTCAGATGTCCCAGGGGTTGTTAGCAGCATCAATCTCTACAGTTGTATCAATTTTGTGCAGGTTTTTCCATGCTCTCTGACCATGTTATGCCTCTTGCATATCTTGCAGACACTGCCCAGGTGTGCTTGGGCAGGTGAGATCCTGCCTCCTCAAAGCAGGAGGGGAGTACAGATCTGTAGGCAACCCTAGTCTACAGATAGTCATAGTCTATGTGACTGTATCCAAAGTGCATGACATTGCACAGAGTAAATGGACAATATTTAGCCTCTTTCAGAGATAGCCCAGAACAGCTGCACAATTTGCTCCTCCTAACTCACTATTTCCGGAAGTGTCTGTGAGCATATGCATTATGCATAAGAACAAGGCAAGGACTCATGTTTCATCCCTAGTATTCTCCCTTCTTCCAGTCTTTTGAGACATGGAGACTTCTAGGACTAGATGTCTTCTCTGTGAATTTAACAACACTTACTGGGTTTTTCCTTTGAACTTCTCTGCTCTTACCTGAGTTCTTATTAACTTGAAGCATCAGCTTATATCCTGAAGCAAAAAATTCCACAGACTGATTACACCATCTCTGCTACTACTGGAAAAGTCCATGAACAACCATTCTCCACCCATCTTTTCCTTCCTCAAGATTTCATAGCTTCCATTATCTGTCTTCCCAGCCATCTCTGTTGCATCCTAAATTATACTCTTGTTCTCCCTGAAGAGGATTTTTGAGCATCCTCATTTTCATGTGACATTTAGTTTCGTGGCTGTCCTTCACTTCTTGCTTTTGGATGTACACAAATTCCATTTGGAGATGGTGTGGGAACCCACATAAGAGGGAATCTATTAACAAAGACAAGTACTGATCATCTCAAGGTGGGTGTCAACAGCCTTGCTTAACTACATCTCTGACCATGAGGTAGAAAGTGAGATTTGGCACGAGAGAGGAAGGAAAAGAAGAGTTGGGCTTCAACGGCCTCTCAGTCTGCTCTGACTGAGAGCTTTAGAAACCAGAACCAAAAAAGCTGGACTTTGTTGGCTCTGTATGATCAAGAAGAGAAGGATCTTGATTCCATTCAGGCTTCCTACAGCTTTGAGGGAGAGGATGTAAATCAGATTCCTCAGTACCCTCACATCTCTACCCCTGTTCGGTCCACTGGGCGAAGGAAAAAAAAAGGTGATCTCCCATTCCATCCCACTGATCTCCGGTCCACTCCCTCATCCTGGCAATGGGACATCCAACCTGGTAGGGAATGTTCCAACAGCCTCATGAGTCCTTCAGACCTGCAGTTGCAAATGATTTCACACCAGCCCCTCCCTGGGGAGAACCTCTGGGGTTTTCAGGGGACTCTGCATGCCGCGATTTACTGGCTGACATAAACACACAATGAGATTTAATGTCACACCCTAACAAACACATGCACGCACCCATTTCATTATGCAGCTCCCTCCAAACCCCAGATATATTTAATGCCTTGCTCCACGCAAGAAGATAAAGCACATGTCTTATGCCTAGATGCTTTCCGAGAGATTTAGCGTACACGTAAGCAGAGTTATAATGAAACATACACACACTGCCTCAGCTTAATGTCCCAGTGCCACCCAATGGGGAAATCACACCAGCTCTGTAAAGCCCACCACACTACATTACAAGAGAATTAATTCACTGGAGGAAACTATAATCTGATCTTAGCCTTACAAGCCAGCATTATTATTCTTTTTCTTTCTATTCTTTCATGCTTAAACTGATTCGTTGTCATTCTTTGTCTCTCTCCATCTCCAGCCTGTATCTCTTTCAGCACAGCCTTTCCCCGTTTTATTTTCTGCCTGCTAATATTCAATTTCATTTTAAAGCCTGTCCACTCTCTTTCTCTCTTCCCCCCTTCCCCTTCTCCCCCTCCGCTGAAAAGGCACTGCTTTCTTTCTGATTTCCTCCCCGTGATTCTTCCTGTATTTCTTCGTTATCAGCATGTCAGATTGGAATTTGACAAGAAAGTAGAATCGACTGCTTTACAGCCTAAGAAGGATTAGTTACCCTGATACAAAGGACATTTTCATTTTCCCGTAACGGGAATATAGCTAAATATTCCCATCAGCTAACCAAAACTCTGGGCTTCAGGACTTCTCTGTTACAAATTCTTGGTGCAGCACAGCTCTCAGAGACTACACATCATGATGATATTTGGACAACAAAGTGCAGAGGAAACATGGGAGATGAAGTCCCAGGGCTTGCTGGAGTAAGAGGTCTTTGAGCATAGATCAGTCTCACCACTGGCCATTCTCATCATAGGGCATTGTTTGCCATTCCGAATCACCTGAGGAACACTAGCAAACTTCAGCCCATGGCCCATTCCCAACCTGCTATTCCGAGGAAGAGATGTCATAGATAAATACTCACCGTTGTTTTGGGGATATGAGTTGTCACCCTGGTCACAAGGTAAAAGATACACTCCAGATCTGGAGAAGTTAATTGATTAACAGAGCAAAACAATGCAGCTGTATTCTTTACAACAGTGCAGATTTTCACAATGAGAGCCACTGGCCTTCAAATTCCTGAACTGTAAAATCCCTCTGTTTAATCTAATGACATACTGACTGATTTATCAGATCTGATTTATCCACAGAGCCCACACCAGGTAATGCTCCATCTCAAGCCATAAAACTCAGAAAGTGAAAGGAGAGCCCTGGGACTGGTAACAAAGATAGAGAATACAGGCAAAGACGGTTGGCACTGCTTTATAGATAGGAGGTCTTAGTCAGGGCTCCCAAGCACCGAACACCTTTGG